TGCTGGAAGGGCTCGGGGAGGTGGACGCGACTGCGGTGCGAGGCTCGTAAGGGTCAGCCGCCGCATGTGCCCCGCAAGAGACCATGAGCGAGAGACGCACCTCGCGGCGGGGAAGACACCCATGAGCTGCTCGTAGGGCTTGAACGGCTGGCCCTTGTCGAACTTGATGTCGAGGCTCGCGAGGTCGACAAAGTCGCTCGCGAACGGCGAGAAGTGGTACGGGTAGTACCACTGCCACGACGGCGTGCCCTGGTAGTAGTACTCGAGGACCCAGCACAGTCCCTCGACGTAGCACTTGACGACCCTGCACGGCGCAAGTCGGCGCGAGGTCAGCGCGTGCAAAGCAGACGAGCGGGGAGAGCGCGACGACTCACTTCTTGCGGAACTCGACGTCGCTCAGCTCGACGCCAAACTTGCTGCGGTAGTAGCGCTCCTTGTAGCCCGGCTCCCACAGCCTGTGGTGGGCGGGTGAGTAAGCAACAAGTCGATGGCAACGAGAGGGAAAAGCGAGCACGCACTTGACCGTGTCGTCCTGCTCGACAACGTTGTTGCCCATGAGCTTGAGAGGCGGCGGCTCGCGGATGTTCAGGCCCGCGACCATCGCCGGCTCGGGCGCCGTGAGGCTACTCTCGAGGAACGCGTTAACGGTGGCCTCGTCCTCGTCCTCGTCGTTCTCCGGGTCGGCATCCGCTGCGTCCTGCATCTCGGCGGCATCGACGTCGGCGCTGCGCTTGGTCCCGCGCGGGGACGTCGCGTCGGCGTCGCCCTCGCTCGACGCGAGCAGCTCGGCCTTGAGCTTGGCCGCCGCGTCAGCGTTGCGAGCCGCCTCGGCACGGCCAGCCTCTTCAGCCTCCTGCTCCTGCTTCATCTCGGGGTCGTCGACCTCCTCAGCGGCCGGTGCAGCGGCAGCGGCGTCGTCGCCGGCGGCGAGCTGCGCCTTCATCATCTCAGCGGCGCTCAAGTTGGCCATGCGCAGCGCCATGCGGTTCTGCACGATGCTCTTGTTGCCGCCCGTCATGGCCTTGGCAGCCTTCTCCTTGTCGTCGTCCTTCTTGGCCTCGTCGGCCGCCCACTGCGGCTTGGCCGGCAGGCCTCCGGGAGCCGTCGAGGTCGGGGCAGCGGTGACGGCCGCCGTGCCGTTCGCGTTGACCTCGACGTAATCGTTGGCGGGCGCGGCACTCGCCTGCACCGACCTCGCCGAGCGCTGCTGAGGCGTCTCGCGCTGCTCGCGGTCGATCCGGCGGCGCTTCTCGGCGCGGTCCTGGCGCTCCTCGGCTGCGAGCGCGCGTGTCCTCGTCAGCAGGGGCGCTCAGGTCGGATTGAACACGAAGATGGAACGCACCCTCGCGGCGCTTGCGGAAGATCTCGTCCTCGCGCATGGCGAGCTGCTCGAGGATGATCTGGGCGCGCTCGAGGCGCACCTTGCCGTGCTCGGTGAGGTACCCTCCCATGCGGTCGAGGTTGGACTTCCAGATGCCCATGAGCGTGTCGATGGCGCCCTCGCGGATCTCGAGCGACGGGAGGTGCGGCAAGAAGTCGTTGCCGACGAAGAAGATGAGGAAGACCCAGTCGTCGAGGGCGCGCTCGAGCGAGAAGGGGAACGAGTGCACGGGCGCCGAAAGCTCGACGGCGAGGTACTCGCGCAGGACGGCGACGTCGAGGAAGATGAAGGGCTTGGGCACGCTCGGTGCGCCCTTGGGCGTCAGGTCGGCCTCGGGCTTCTTGACCTCGCCTGCGAGACAGCCCGCGTCAGTCCGAGGGAGCTGAAGGAACGAGCAGTGCTGCGAGAGCAGACGCACCCGTGCACTGGCTCGAGTGGTGGCCCGGCTGGCCACACCGGTGGCAGCCGCGCTTCTTCTTCTCGTCGGCAAAGACGTCCTCGCGGAGCACCCTGAAGTGAGGCTCGTGCGTCGCGAGCGAGAGCATGATCAAGTCGGCGTCGAGACCGTAGATGACGTGCTTCGTGTTGGGGTCGTGCGACGGGTGGACGCGCTGGCGGCGGATGAAGTCCATGATCTTGTGCTCTCCCTCGCCGGGGACCGACGCGTCCGAGATGATGACCTCGAGCTGCAGGCGCGGGGGTGTGAGCCGAGATTGCGTAACAGAGGAGAGAGCGAGAGACGCTGCGACGTACGCCTGCCCAGCCCGGGTCCTCATTGATCTTCTTGCGGACCCAGTAGCGCAGACTCTTGGCGAGGAGGTCCATGAAGGGTGTGCCCGGCGTGATAGCGTTCGAGTCCCAACCCTTCTCGTTGCGGTACTCGTCGCTGACCTCCTTGCCCATGGCCTCGAGCTCCTTGATGGCGTTCTGGCGGTCGTCCTCCTTCTCCTTGGCCTCCTGCGCAGAGCGGAATCGACGCGAGCGCTGCTGGTTCATCTTGGCGCGAGGTGCGACGCCGTCGATGGCCATCATGAGGAGCTTGCGGGGGCGGACCATGGCGACGACCCGCTCCGTGTAGGCGAACACCTCGATCATCATGTCCTCCTCGGTCTTGGGGGCGGGCTGTTCAGGTGCGCGGTGAGCAGGGATGTGTGAAGGGGTTCTGACAGCGAGAAATGGACACACCTTGCCCTCTGGGTGAGTACACGGATGCACAATGCCGTTCATGTCGAGGTAAAGACAATCAAACTCTTCGCCGTTTGGGTTGGGCCCAGATGTGTCGACAGGCTGCGCGGAAGCAGCTGGCGTCAGACGTGCATGCACAGCGGACGTAGGCGAGGGTGAGCTGAGGAGGAAGAGGGAGGGGAACGCACAATGGATTCCTCCACGCCGTCTCGCACCACCGTCACGGCATGCTCCTCGGCCACACTTGACACAATGCGCGGGTACTTGCGTGAGAGCCAGCGGAACAAAGCCTGGGTCCAGGGGACATGGCGTGAGTCACGTAGGGCGGCCGGGCAGCCACCGGGCGGTGAAGTGAAAGACGCACGGGGACACCCATCCTTCACAGTCTTCTCTTGCAGCTGCGTGTGCTGCGGTGTTGTGCTGGCTGTGGTCGGTGCTGTCCAAGGCGCAGGCGGTTGTCAGTGCGTGTTCGTGAGAGTGGGGAGGTGCTCGCCTCATCAGTTCCTTGGAAGCGTGCCCGATCTCGCTCGCCAGGAGCTGAGCGTGCGGCAGCCTCCTTTGAGTCGAGTTCTGTCCCGGCGAGACACGCATACCCGCCGCAGCGAATGCCCGTTGCCGTGCGCGTGAGATGTGGCGTGCCGGCGGGTGGAGCGGCTCGCAGTGGCAGGGTCGGCGCACGGCGACGGAGGCACCCGAAGACGCGCTCCTTGTCGTGAACAGGTCGAGGCAGCTGAAGAGAGACTCACGAGCTCTTGCAAGAGCAGCCGGCCGTTGCGAGAGAGCGAGAAGCGGCTCGCCTCTCCGGCTGCCTCTCTTCCCCTCGAGCTCGACCCTGAGTCCGCTCTCGCCTCGCTCTGCCCTTGCGCTTCACCGCCTAGCCGCTCGAATACATCTGCTACTGCCATGCCCAGGCGACACAGCATGCCTGCGCCCAGCCCCAAGGCCGCAGCCAAGCCCGCGCTCAAGAAGAAGCGCGCCTCGCTCCCCGCCCAACCTGCACCGCCTCAAGCCTCGACCTCGCAGCAGACGCTCGACGACGACGACGACCGCTTCGCCGCCTTCCTCGACGAAAACGACCACGAGGGCGCACAGGAGCAGGATGAGCAGCCTGTCGTTGAGGGCGCGGACGAGGAGGTCAACATCGACGAGGAGACGGGCGGGGACCGGGACGAGCCAGCGCAGAAGGGACAGGACGAAGAGGAGGAACTCGACGAGCGCGCCCTCCTCGCCAAGACGACCCTCCCCGCACACCTCCTCCCGCGCTCGCTGTCCGGCGGCAAGAACGCCAAGACGCCCGGCCTCGTCTACTTGTCGCGCATCCCGCCCGGCATGGGCCCAGGCAAGGTCAAGCACCTGCTGTCTGCGTTTGGCGAGGTCGGGCGCATCTACCTGGCGCGCGCCGACGCAGGCAAGGGTGCGTTCTCGCTCGCGCATTTTCCCTCCCCCTCCCTCGACACCTGCTTATGCCCTCGTGCCCTTCTCACCTTGCAGAGATCTCGGCGCACAAGAAGCACAAGCAGCGCGAGCGCCACCAGTCGCACAACTTCAAGGAGGGCTGGGTCGAGTACCTCGACAAGCGCGTCGCGCGCTCCGTTGCAGAGATGCTCAACGCGCAGACCATCGGTAAGTTCTTCTTTCGTGTGCCAGGTCAGTCCGAGCGCAGTGGACCTGGCCGCAAGCATTTCTTGGGCCGCGCTCAGAGCTTTCGCTGACGATACTCGTACGCGCGCGCACACAGGCGGTAAGAAGTCGGACCGCTGGCACGACGACGTCTGGACGATGAAGTACCTGCCGCGCTTCCGATGGGACCAGCTCAGTGAGCAAGTCGGTGCGTGCCCCGTCTCGCCGCCACTCTTGTCGAGACCTGCGGGCTGACCCCGCCTTTGCTCGCACTCGCAGCACTCGAGCGCGCGACGCAGACCTCCCTCCTCCGCTTCCACCTCTCGCACTCCAAGACCGAGCAAGAGGCGTACCTCTCTGCCGTCGAGCGCGCGCGCGTCGGCAAGAAGATCGAGGAGAAGGCCGCTTCGCGCGCGCAGAGCTCTGGCGGCAAGGGCGGCGCGGCGAAGGGCGCGGCTGTTGGAGTGGGCAAGGGGGGTGGCAAGGAGGCCAAGGCTGGTGAGAAGAGGAAGAGGGAGTTCAGGCAGCGTGAGGCGGTCGACGTCAGCAAGAAGCTCAAGCGGGATGAGGGGCAGCTCGAGAGCGTCCTCGGGCGGCTCTTCTGAGTAGAGGAGCGACTGTCTCGCCCCTTCTGCAATCTGTTCAGTGCAATTGCTTCATTATTGCTCCCGGTCCCACGTGCACAGCCAGGAGGGGTCAGAGCGTTCGATCAACCTTTGTCAGGGACGGGCAGGAAAAAGTGTGTGCCCTGTGCTGTTGCGGCTCGCAGACAAGGTGTGATAGAAAGCTCGGACACGAGGGTAAGGCAAAAAGATGGAGAAGTGGGGGTTCGAACCCCAGGCCTTCTGCAGGCGTGCACTCGCTAGCCGGTTGTGACTGGGCGAGAGTGCAAAGCAGACGCGCTGCCACTGCGCTACATCCCCTTGCATGGCTTTGAGGGGCGTGCTCACTTACATAAAGCCTGATTCAGCTTCAACCAATGGCTGTCTCCAGCCTCCGTAACAGCTTCCCTCCCAGGAAAGCTGGCTCTAGTGACTATCCAGTGTCAGTGTGACCTTCTTAACACTCAGTGTTGGCCGCTGTCAGAGCAAAGCTATTGCGACAACTCCCTCTCATTGACCTCGAGTGACTCGGCAGCAGAAGGTCCACACGAAAGGTCCGAGCGGAGGGTCCGAGCGACCATGCGGACGCCCGGTCCTCTCCCTCGCTTCCTGTTTGTCTCAAACCTCGCGGATGCGCTCTCATACCACTGCCACCACGCTGACGGGCTGTGAATGATCGTCATCGACAAGGGGTCTCGGGTTTTGGTCCGCGGTGGAGGAGACTCGGTCGCTGTAGCTTTCCCCCCTCTCCCCTTCTGCTTCTCTCCAGTCACCCCCCCTTGCCTGCCTCGCCATTCTCTTCTCTAGGTTCCAAGGTCGAATGACTGTTATTCGGTTCCCTCCGACTCTGGACATCCGCTCCGCTCCTCCCTCACGTCTCCTCGTCCACCTCGACTTCAACGGAACCGGACGCTGCTGCAAGCGTCCGATTCCGTGGGTGCGGGTGTGAAGAGACGCCACCGTAGAGCGTAGCGAGAGGGCACGCGCTCTCGTCGGGCTTCCAACGAGCAGTCTGGCGACTCGGAAGAAAGGCAAGACTGAGAGATGCGCCTGCGGGCAGCCCTCTCGCTTCCTCCTCGTCGCTACGCTCTCGCGGGCTCTCTCGAGTGCTGCTCAGTCAAGCGCTTCGAGTTTG